TTGGAATGGAGGAGATGAACTGAAGTATGGAGAAGAAATTAAGGAAGAAGAAGTTATGGAAGGACACGAAGTCAAAGAAGAAGAAGTTTTGGATGGAGAAGAAGTTAAGTATAAAGAAGAAAGTATGGATGGGGAAGAAGTTTGGGATGGAGAAGAAGTTTGGAATGGAGAAGAATCTACTAAGTATGGAGAAGAAGTTAAGGAAGGAGATGAATTTTCGGATGGGTTGGGATAGCATAGGAGATTATATAGTTAAGGATGGTGAAGAAACGTGGGATACAAAATGAAGTTAAGGAAGTAGAAGAAGTTAAGGAGGATGGAGAAGAAGTTAGGGAAGGAGAAAAAGTTAAGAATGAAGAGCAAGTTAGGGAAGGAGAAGAAGTTAAGGATGGAGAACAAGTTAGGGAAGGAGAAGAATAAGTTAAGGAGGGAGAAGTAGTTTGGGATGGGGAAGAAGTGAAGGAAGGAGAAGAAGTTAAGGAAGAAGAAGAAGAAGAAGAAGTTTTGGATGGAGTAGAAGTTAAGGGTAAAGAAGAAAGTATGGATGGGGAAGAAGTTTGGGATGGAGAAGAAGTTTGGGATGGAGGAGAAGTTTGGAACGGAGGAGAAGAACCGAAGTATGGAGAAGAAATTAAGGAAGAAGAAGTTTAGGAAGGAGACGAAGTCAAGGAAGAAGAAGTTTTGGATGGAGAAGAAGTTAAGGATAAAAAAGAAAGTATGGATGGGGAAGAAGTTTGGGATGGAGAAGAAGTTTGGAATGGAGAAGAATCTACTAAGTATGGAGAAGAAATTAAGGAAGGAGATGAACTTTCGGATGGGATGGGATATCATAGGAGATTATATAGTTAAGGATGGAGAAGAAACTTGGGATGCAGAATGAAGTTAAGGAAGCGGATGAAGTTAAGGAGGATGGAGCAGAAGTTAGGGAAGGAGAAAGAGTTAAGAATGAAAAACAAGTTAGGGAAGGAGAAGAAGTTAAGGATGGAGAACAAGTTAAGGAAGCAGAAGAAGAAGTTAAGGATGGAGAAGTAGTTTGGGATGGGGAAGAAGTGAAGGAAGGAGAAGAAGTTAAGGAAGAAGAAGAAGTTTTGGATGGAGAAGAAGTTAAGGGTAAAGAAGAAAGTATGGATGGGGAAGAAGTTTGTGATAGAGAAGAAGTTTGGGATGGAGGAGAAGTTTGGAATGGAAGAGAAGAACCGAATTATGGAGAAGAAATTAAGGAAGAAGTTTAGGAAGAAGACGAAGTCAAGGAAGAAGAAGTTTTGGATGGAGAAGAAGTTTGGAATGGAGAAGAATCTACTAAGTATGGAGAAGAAGTTAAGGAAGGAGATGAACTTTCGGATGGGATGGGATAGCATAGGAGATTATATAGTTAAGGATGGAGAAGAAACTTGGGATGCAGAATGAAGTAAAGGAAGCAGAAGAAGTTGAGGATGGAGAAGAAGTTAGGGAAGGATAAAAAGTTAAGAATGAAGAACAAGTTAGGGAAGGAGAAGAAGAAGTCGGGAAGGAGAAGAAGAAGTGAAGGATGGAGAAGTAGTTTGGGATGGGGAAGAAGTGAAGGAAGGAGAAGAAGTTAAGGAAGAAGAAGAAGAAGAAGAAGTTTTGGATGGAGAAGAAGTTAAGGGTAAAGAAGAAAGTATGGATGGGGAAGAAGTTTGGGATGGAGAAGAAGTTAAGGATGGAGAAGAAGTTTGGGATGGAGGAGAAGTTTGGAATGGAGGAGAAGAACCGAAGTATGGAGAAGAAATTAAGGAAGAAGAAGTTTAGGAAGGAGACGAAGTCAAGGAAGAAGAAGTTTTGGATGGAGAAGAAGTTAAGGATAAAAAAGAAAGTATGGATGGGGAAGAAGTTTGGGATGGAGAAGAAGTTTGGAATGGAGAAGAATCTACTAAGTATGGAGAAGAAGTTAAGGAAGGAGATGAACTTTCGGATGGGATGGGATATCATAGGAGATTATATAGTTAAGGATGGAGAAGAAACTTGGGATGCAGAATGAAGTTAAGGAAGCGGAAGTAGTTAAGGAGGATGGAGAAGAAGTTAGGGAAGGAGAAAAAGTTAAGAATGAAGAACAAGTTAGGGAAGGAGAAGAAGTTAAGGATGGAGAACAAGTTAGGGAAGCAGAAGAAGAAGTTAGGGATGGAGAAGTAGTTTGGGATGGGGAAGAAGTGAAGGAAGGAGAAGAAGTTAAGGAAGAAGAAGAAGAAGAAGTTTTGGATGTAGAAGAAGTTAAGGGTAAAGAAGAAAGTATGGATGGGGAAGAAGTTTGTGATAGAGAAGAAGTTTGGGATGGAGGAGAAGTTTGGAATGGAGGAGAAGGACCGAAGTATGGAGAAGAAATTAAGGAAGAAGTTTAGGAAGAAGACGAAGTCAAGGAAGAAGAAGTTTTGGATGGAGAAGAAGTTTGGAATGGAGAAGAATCTACTAAGTATGGAGAAGAAGTTAAGGAAGGAGATGAACTTTCGGATGGGATGGGATAGCATAGGAGATTATATAGTTAAGGATGGAGAAGAAACTTGGGATGCAGAATGAAGTAAAGGAAGTAGAAGAAGTTGAGCATGGAGAAGAAGTTAGGGAAGGATAAAAAGTTAAGAATGAAGAACAAGTTAGGGAAGGAGAAGAAGTTAAGGATGGAGAACAAGTTAGGGAAGGAGAAGAAGAAGTTAAGGATGGAGAAGTAGTTTGGGATGGGGAAGAAGTGAAGGAAGGAGAAGAAGAGGAAGAAGAAGAAGAAGAAGAAGAAGTTTTTGATGGAGAAGAAGTTAAGGGTAAAGAAGAAAGTATGGATGGGGAAGAAGTTTGGGATGGAGAAGAAGTTAAGGATGGAGAAGAAGTTTGGGATGGAGGAGAAGTTTGGAATGGAGGAGAAGAACCGAAGTATGGAGAAGAAATTAAGGAAGAAGAAGTTTAGGAAGGAGACGAAGTCAAGGAAGAAGAAGTTTTGGATGGAGAAGAAGTTAAGGATAAAAAAGAAAGTATGGATGGGGAAGAAGTTTGGGATGTAGAAGAAGTTTGGAATGGAGAAGAATCTACTAAGTATGGAGAAGAAGTTAAGGAAGGAGAAGAACTTTCGGATGGGATGGGATATCATAGGAGATTATATAGTTAAGAATGGAGAAGAAACTTGGGATACAAAATGAAGTTAAGGAAGTAAAAGAAGTTAAGGAGGATGGAGAAGAAGTTAGGGAAGGAGAAAAAGTTAAGAATGAAGAACAACTTCGGGTAGGAGAAGAAGTTAAGGATGGGGAACAAGTTAAGGAAGGAGAAGAAGAAGTTAATGATGGAGAAGTAGTTTGGGATGGGGAAGAAGTGAAGGAAGGAGAGAAGTTAAGGAAGAAGAAGAAGAAGAAGAAGTTTCTGATGGAGAAGAAGTTAAGGGTAAAGAAGAAAGTATGGATGGGGAAGAAGTTTGTGATGGAGAAGAAGTTTGGGATGGAGGAGAAGTTTGGAATGGAGGAGAAGAACCGAAGTATGGAGAAGAAATTAAGGAAGAAGAAGTTTAGGAAGGAGATGAAGTCAAGGAAGAAGAAGTTTTGGATGGAGAAGAAGTTAAGGATAAAAAAGAAAGTATGGATGGGGAAGAAGTTTGGGATGGAGAAGAAGTTTGGAATGGAGACGAATCTACTAAGTATGGAGAAGAAGTTAAGGAAGGAGTTGAACTTTCGGATGGGATGGGATATCATAGGAGATTATATAGTTAATAATGGAGAAGAAACTTGGGATACAAAATGAAGTTAAGGAAGTAGAAGAAGTTAAGGAGGATGGAGAAGAAGTTAGGGAAGGAGAAAAAGTTAAGAATGAAGAACAAGTTAGGGAAGGAGAAGAAGTTAAGGATGGAGAACAAGTTAGGGAAGGAGAAGAAGAAGTTAAGGATGGAGAAGTAGTTTGGGATGGGGAAGAAGTGAAGGAAGGAGAGAAGTTAAGGAAGAAGAAGAAGAAGAAGAAGTTTCTGATGGAGAAGAAGTTAAGGGTAAAGAAGAAAGTATGGATGGGGAAGAAGTTTGTGATGGAGAAGAAGTTTGGGATGGAGTGAAGCACTTGGTGGATTTGATGAAGACATAGATATAACTTAGGTTGTGGGTGTGTAAATGATTAGGTTTTTAAGTTTAAGCACTTAATCTCTTGATAGGCCATTATATTTTGTGATAAGCACCTTAAAATATTGCATATCATTGAAAATCATTTTTCTGCATGAAAAACTAACATCAAAGTATTAAAAGAACAAACTAAGTTTTTCAATCTGTTGAAAAGGATTTTCAATCTGTTAAAATCACTTAAAAGAATAAGTGGTCATACATAGTCGTAGTTTCAATTGATTGATTCGCGGAATCAACAAAGTTAAAATAACTCAATGAATTTTTCAATATCAAAGTTTTGCATTTTCAATCTGTTGAAATGATTTTTAAATCTGTTGAAACAGAAAGACTATTTTTTCAGTCTAAGAGTTTTTCAGAAAATCAATATGTTGAAATAATTTTTAATCTGTTAAAACAGAGAGGCTATTTTATTAACTAAGTGTTTGCAGGTTTTCAATCTGTTGAAATAATTTTCAATCGATTGAAACAGAGAACTGTCATTTTTCATAAAGTCGTTTCAATCCATTAAAAACTCGAATCAATCGATTGAATGGAGCTTTAAATGAAATCAATCGATTGAATTGATGTTTTAATCGATTGAAATATATTCTGATCGATCATAGTTTTATTCTGATCGATCATAACTCGGTCCGATCGATCATAGTTTCATTCTGATCGATCATAACTCTGATCTCGATCGATCATACTTCAGTTCTAATCGATCAGAGTCTCTTCTAAACTATTTTTACTTCAATCTAATCGATCTTTTGACACTCGAAACAGCTTTTTGACAGCTTGGAACATTCTAATTCTATGCTTTACTCTATATATACAGAATTGATCTATCTTTTGAATGACACACAAACAATACACTACTTGAGAAAACTTGTGAAATCAATTTGTGAAACTTTCATACGTGACTTTCTCTCGCATTCAAGAATCTTTTTCATATCATAAGGTCGTTGTGATCAGAATTGTGGTCAATCAAAGAGAGAAAGTGCTTGTTAGAATTTGTTCTGGACAATTAGAACTTCAAGTCCAGGTTTTTTTCTTTTCATACTCTTTTGTAAAAGTGTGATTGTGCAGAGTTGGATTGTGATCTGCACTTGGTACGATAACTAAGTTTGGTTACTTGGGTGGTTTTCAAGATTCTCGTCTTGTGGGTTTGCAAGATAGTTCTTGGGGTAGATTGGTGAGTATCTACTCGGTTGTAAATTTTCACTTGGTATTAGTGAAACTTGACTGGTTTGTCAAGAACTGGATGTAGCTCTGGATTAGAGTGAACCAAGTATAAATTTGTGTGTTAATATTCTTCTTTCATCTCTTTTACTTTCTGTCAATTAACTTGTTGTGTTTAAACCAAACTACCTTCGCAAAGATTGAATAAAGATAACTCATTCTTCCAAAAGAAAGTAAGTTTTGTTAAAAAGTTTTAAAGTTCAATTCACCCCCCTCTTGAACTCAACCATTAATTCTTTCAATTGGTACCAGAGCTGGTTCTTGTAAGTTACTCAAGAAATCGGTCCAATGGCTCGAGGGAAAGATGACTTTTTCGAAGGAGCCTCCATAAACAGGCCTCCACTTTTTTCTGGTGTGAATTATTCTTTACTGGAAGGTTAGAATGAAAATCTTTATTGAATCCCTTGATAGAGGCATTTGGGAAACAATTGTTAATGGTCCTTACAAACCAACTCATACCGTAGATGGTAAAGTAGTCGAAAAAGATTGGGTTGAATTAAGCTGATGTAGAAAATAGGAGAGTCCAATATGATTATACTTGCAAAAAATATTATTACCTCTCGCTTTAAATCTTGATGAGTTTTTCGAGGTGTCTCGGTGTGCCTCGCCAAAGAGATGTGGGAAATTTTAGAGGTTACACATGAAGGAACATCTCGATGTGAAAAGGGCAAGAAAGCAGGAGTTAATCGAGGGACTATGAGTTGTTTAAAATGCAGCAAGGAGAAACAATTGCGAGATGTGCGAGAAAGGTTCACGCACATAGTCAATCATCTAATTGGGTTAGGAAAGACTTTTGACAAAGAAGAATTGAACATCAAAATCTTAAAGTGTTTGGACAGAACGTGGCAACCAAAGGTGACAGCTATATCGAATCAAGAGACTTGACTCGAAATGACTACCGCTTCACTTTTTGGTAAGTTGAGGGAACATGAGTTGGAAATCAATCGGTTCAAAGAACAAGAGAATGCGAGAAAAGAAAAGTAGAAATATTGTTCTCAAGACAATTGAAGAAAACAGTGGATCTCGAAGAAGATGAATTAGAGAACCCGACTTTGTTGGTTAAGAAATTTGGGAAATTTCTTAGAAGAAAGAACAGAACCGGCCAAGTAAAAAGGTACAATGATAAAAAGACCGAATCTGTTCAAAATAATATTACTTGTTATTCTTGTGGTAAACAGGGTCACATAAAGAGTGATTGTCCGGAAAAGACCAAGAATCGAACAAGAAAGAATCAAGATACAAAGGGAAAAAGGCCTATATAGCCTGGCAAGACAATGATTCATCTTCCGACTTCGAATCCGAAAGTGAAAAGGTGAACTCGTGTTTAATGGTCAGTCGTGAATGCTCTTCATCACATGTAAGTTCAACTCCTACGAGAGAATGAAATGAATTACGACACATTACTAAATGCTTTCAATGAAATGCATAGTGAAGCCGTAAATTTATCTCATACAAATAATCGGTTGAAAGGTTTAAATAACTGGTTAGAAAATAGAGTTAAAGTTCGGAAAATGAACTATTAGAAAGCAAAACAGATTTAGAACATCTAGATATTATCTATTCATCTGCGGATAATGTTGCTGTTAATAAGAATTGTGAAAAGTGTATTGTTTTACAAAATAAGGTTGATTACTTGACTAAAACCTTGACAAAATTTACTCAAGGTAAAGAGAATTTAGATGCACTTCTTGGGTCTCAAAATTGTGTGTTTGAACATTCGGAATCGGGTACAAACCTAAGAATGGGGTAAAAACTAAAAAATATTTGAACTTCTTTTCATACGGAAAAACAACAGGCATCCCCTTTCTCATCTTGTCATTACTGCATGAAGAAAGGACATACTATAAAATTTTGTCATGCTAGAAAATATTTTGTGCCGCAAGGTAGGAAGAGATGGGTTCCAAAACATGTTAAACAAAAAATTTGACTCCTAAGTACCCAAAATACGTAAGGGTACCAAATACTTGATGTTTGATCTTTCAGGAACAACAACATGAGTCCCTTTGGTACCTAGACAATGGATGCTCAAGGCACATGACAGGTGACATTTCAAAATTCCGAAGTCGAAATTGAAGAATGGAGGTCATGTGACTTATGGAGACAACAACAAGGGAAGAATTCTAGGTTCCGGAGATATTGGAGATAGTAAATCGGTAACCATTCACAATGTCCTTCTTGTTGAAGGTCTCAAGCACAATCCGATAAGCATAAGTCGGTTATGTGATCTTGGTCACAAAGTCATTTTCAAACCGAAAAGTGCCTTATCTCGTGAGCCGAAATCGACACGGTAATGTTGGTAGGTAAGAGGTTAAACAACATATACATGTTAGATATCAAACAGTCTATATCATCTCAAAGTTTTTTCCTTACTAAAGAAGAAGAATCTTGGTTGTGGCATAGAAGGCTTGCTCATATACATCTTAACCATCTTGACAAACTGATTTCAAAAGAATTAGTTTCTGAGCTGCCTAAGCTTCAAATCTTGAAAGACAAAATCTGTGAAGCTTGTTTGAAAGGCAAACAAACTAGAAAATCTTTTTCAAACAAAAACATTATTTCAACTTCTAAACCTTTGGAACTCGCTTCACATGGATTT